ATGTCATCAGTGATCCGCAAAGTGGTGATGGCACTCGTATCCAGGTCGGGGTAAAGATGCCTGATTAGCCACCGACTGAGCTTGAAGCCCCTGCGGTAGGCCTCGGTCATCACATCGTCAAACCTTGAAGATCTGACATAGCCGGTGACGGCTTGAGCTTTGGCCTCCTTGAGAGCATCCTCGAAGATCACAGTCTTCTCTTTAATATCTTCTTGGAGGTACTCCACCTCGCGCTCCAACTTCCCCTTTGCCTCCTTGAGGCCCTGCATCTCGAGCTTCAGGGTGTCCCGCTCAGCCTTGAGGCTGTCCACCTCGAGCCCCAAGGCCTCTTGGCCGACCTTGAGCCCATTCACCTCGGCCCTCAACTTGTCCTTATCTCGGGCCAGCTCGCCCTTCTCCGCCATTAGCACCTCGATGAAGCTCTTATGAGCCAAGGCGTCACTCTCTAGGCGGTGGACCTAACTGCGAACTGCCCTCAGTTCGGTATGGGCTACGCGGGATGACTTCTCAGCCTCCAGAGACCGCCTCAGATGCCGATCTGATTGAAGGGTCAAGGCGCGAATGGCGGAGTTCACCTGCAAAAGGGAAACCAGTTAAAAAGAAAAAGAAAAACTCACCACCATAGTATGGGTGGCAGCTCGGATCCCGAGCTGACCAAGAGTGAGATCAGCCCACTCATTGACCTCCCCCGGGTATGCAGCCAGCTTGCTCTTCTTCAGGCTGCATTGGGGATTCAAGACGGTTTGGCTCCCCTGACCCTCCGAGCTGGACGCTGTCATCTCTACATCACAAGTGGACTCCTTAGAAGCCTCAACGGTAGCTTCAGCAGGATGAGCCCTAGTAGCAGCCTCTGTAGCACAAGCCTCGACTGCGCTCTCAGCAGTAGGTTCGGTGGGCTTAGAAGAGGACTCCGCTACCACCTCGGGCCCCTGAGGCACCGCGTTTCCTTCCAGGTCGATGACAGGTGGAGTGCCTGGGAGCTTGGGCTTTGAGTCTCGGCTGAGGCTTGTGGAGACTCAACACATGCCTTCTTGGCTACACGTTTCTTTCTCTTCATCTAGCGGAAGAGTCTCTAGTTGTCTATCCTCGCCGCCTCCATGGGACCTGCAGTAAAACACGACATTAGCAATCCCGAAGTAAACATACATACAAAAAGCCGAAGTAAAACAAAACCTACCCCAGCTCAAGTCGGCCTGGACGAACTTCTCTTCGGATGTGAAGTCTTTATAATTTAACCCAAGCTGAGCCAACATCTGGAGTGCCTTCTTGGTCTTCCCATCTAAGATGACACCGGGGTCTTGAACAGCCACCCTCTAGTCAGTAAGGAAGGGCCACCCCGTGCTACTCCGAACTACGAAGTAGTCCCGCTTCCAGGCCAGGACCTTACTCAGGAGTCTGTGCATAAGCTTGAAACCCGGGCGGGGAGACAGGTAGTAAGACCGTTTGTGCCCGGGGAGAGTGCCCAAAGCACTCTTCTTTATGGCCAAAATGGTGCTAAGAATGTCCAAGTCGATAGGGAGAGATCGGTCAAAGCAAAGAGAAATGGTCCCAACTATATTCCGTATGGAATTCGGGTGAAGTTGGTCCAAAGTAATGTTGAAGTGCACCAGCACCTCGGTAATCAAGTGGTGGAGAGGGAGTCGGAATCCGGCTACTAACTGCTCCCTGAAGACCATGATCTCATTGGGACCATGCTCCCATGGAAAGCTGCCGGTAGGAAGACTGTAAGAGTACTCCCCAGGAAGGTGAAACCTCTGTATGAGGTCCTGGAGTCTCTCCGGAGTCATGGTGGAAGGGCCGAACTGATCTGGCACCCGACCTCGATGGGAGGTGGATGCCAGATGACCCGATGCCACCCGTACATCGGACGGCTGGGCGGTAGAAGAGACACCCTGAGCCGAGGTACCCACCTCGGGCTCGTCGATGAGGCTATCTACACTAGACGACATAACGAGCTGAAGGGAAGAAACAAACTGGAAGGGAAAAGGAAGCTCAGGAGAACTCACCAAAGGAACGTGACTGGACTGGGAGGACGGGACGAACTAGAAGACCCGAGCTAAGAGACCTCTAGCGCGAGCTCAAACACTAACGACGAAAGCTTTGTGGCGAAGAAATGGCCAAGGGTCCCCCCTATTTATAGCCACAGCTGTGGGCTCCTCGAGGCGAAAACGGTTTAGCGCGTTTTTGACGTCCGCGAAGTCCAAATCGCGTGAGGTCCGCGCGTAAACTGGACATGACTCGGGTCTCTCTTGATCGAACCGGGCACTAGACCAGTCCAACTGGACGGAGCACGCAACGGGGTGGCATAAGTACCGACGCCAAATCCACCCGGCGCGTCATGACCTCCCCGCGTTGGGTCATCGCCGCCAGCGCAGGGAGTGGGGGGCAATTGATGGAGGGTGATTTGGCCCGACCTCGTAGCACGGGTACACGTGGGCGTGACCTTGCTCAAACAGTGACAGCGTGACAATGCAACGGATGCAACCACAACTCGGAGGGAAGGTCCCACCGAGTTCAGCTCAGCAACTGGGCGGATAAACTACTCACCGGGAGCCGCCTTACCTGCACCTCCTCCCCAGGGTTAAGGCACTTCGGGGTGCCCCGAGTTCGGGGTACCTTGACCTTCCTTGATGCCCGAGCTCCTCCCGATGGACCTCGGGCCACCCCCAGACGGGAACACACCATCTCTAGATGCCCCAGGGTGAAAACACTTCGGGCCAGACAGCTTGGCATAGCTTGCCACAGGCAGCTCGCCACTTACGGGATAGCCCGACACAAGGTAACCCGCAAAGGGGTAGTACGACGTACCGCAGGAAGATCTCCTGCCCAACCACCGTACCCGACAAATCTGGGATAGCCACCATGTCCCTTGCCAGAGAGGGTCGTGCCTGCCACCTTTAGAGGGTATCGTACACCTGACAGGCACAGATCCAGTAGTAACAACCCCGCGCGTGCCGCCTCAGCCTTGCATGTAACGGATGTGGCAGGCTGACAGTGGCGGTTGTATCTGCCCTGTCAGAGGCCAGTAGGCCCGGTGCAACGAAATTCTGTTATAAGGAGCCTATTCTCAGAAGACGGGTATCTTGAAATCTCTTGCGCTACCTCACTCTTAGCTTTTATCTTCTCCTTGCTTCTTACTCAGAATACTGACTTAATCGTCGGAGCGTTCCCGCCGGGCAAACCCCCCGAGGATTCTTCTCTTTCCTTATCTCAGGTACCTCTCGGAAGCCACCCGAGTGCTAGCTAGGAGTGACCGGATTGCGCACCATCATAAGAGTTTTCTTAGAAAACAACACTGATTTTATTTGATATCAATACTAGGAGTAATATTTTTAACATTAATCTATATTATCCAATATCCAAGATGATGCCACATCATTGCATCACTGATAATAATACATCATTTTCTTAAAAAAATATTAAATTTGACATTGCTCTAAACCACACTTTCCCGATTTTCAAGTCATGGTCTAAAATAACATTTTTTCCGGAAAAACCGTAAAAAACAAAAAAGTATTGTTTGAAGCACTGCTTTCTCTCAAAAAAATGACATTGATACCAAACATCACCTGAATGAATGCAAGGTGGAGGCAAAAGCTGTTTCTCACGGACATAACAGTTTATGTGGACACTCCCCACAGCAGATAGACTCCCTTTCTGGACATTGATCGGATGTTTAAGTTTCCTTGTAGTGTTTGGAAATTGGAATGGTCCCCAATCCCAACGATGGGCCTGAGATGGGGTTCTAGCCTTGACCAACGGATGGTCAAATGCCACAACGAATGGAAAGGGGGCAAAGGAGGAAGAGTTAGGTGGTTAGTAACTAAAGCTTGCTTCGACGAAAAAAGGGCGCGGTTAGTATTAGTAAAGCTTACCTGGTACAGGGGAAGCCGCTTCACTTTGTTTGGGACAAGCACCGCTGTGGCAACCGGCATGCTGCCAACAGGGACTCGGGATGTCTACCGCAAAAGTCTCTGTGAATATTGGCATCATAATCTCAGTTTTATCTATATCTAAAATGGGTTCGACTATGATGCCTGAAAAGACATGATATCCAAGAACTTCTAAATAAATGACCCGGAAATGAAATCATTCTGATCATCAGTTTTTAGGTTGACGGTCTGACTGTCTGGTTCGAATAGACAATTCGTTCTGACAAATAAATTAAAAAAATAAAAATAATAATTAAAAATAAAAAACAGTCAAAAACTGTTGAACAGGTTGATGTTTCAACGGTTTTTGGCCAAAAACTGGGTTTAGGGTAAAACAGAACCGATTGCCTGGATGGTTTCCGAGTCAAATGATCCGACCGTCCAGGTCAATGACAGTTCAAAAACCTTGATGTAAACCAATCCAGACATTGCATACCATAGTTTTCAAAAACCGGACCGGACCAGACAATCGGACCAAAAAAACCGAGAACCGGTCAAATGACCAATTCCATTTTACCCCCAAACCATTATTTTGCCAAAAAAACGTTGATTTGGTCAACAAACCACTGATCCAAGCAGTCAAACTGTTCAGCAATTTTGACTGTTTATTTTTTTAATTTTTTATTCTTTTGTCAGAACAGGCCATCCATTCGGTTTAAACAATCAGACCGTTCCACCCAGAAACTGAACCCCTGACTAGTTCATTGTCCGGTTCGTAAAAAACCTTGATCCAGACATTGAATTGGACAGGTCCAATATGGTCAAAACTATTCATCAGATTGGATTGGACCTGGTCCTATTTGTACCAAATCCAGTCCAATTGACACCGGGCATCTTTGGGCATGGATCAGTTGATAGTTGATACAGAAAACTCTTTGGCAAGATGCCAACACCTAATGATGATGACTGCAACAACAGATTTCTCTATTCATGTAAAGGAGCTACTACGGGAATAATTTGCAGATCTAACCTATGGCCATGGTAACTTGTCCGTAATATACTGGGAAATGGTAATTCTTAATGAATCAGAAAGCATGAATATCATATTCGCTCAAAGAAACAATGCCATAGAACAAGGATAAAAATTCCCTTAAATTAACTAAAGCATAAATTCCAATAAGGTATAGTTACATCTTTTTCCATGGGCAATGTCTGGAAAAAAAGGGGAGGGGGGAATCGAAAGAAATGATGGAACAGGATTGTCTGGTCTGGTGTGGCCATGTCATGACCCTGCAAACTGAAAGCAGCACAGGATTAGCACACAGCATAAAGCGCCTAATATATAGAAAAGGATCCCGCACAACATGGTCTAATGACTAATCGTTCATATACAACAACTATCAGCTGCTAAAATGGAGTAAACTTTTTGACTGTCCACGTTTGACGGCTTGGGCTGTCAACAGGGCTCTCCCTGTGTGGCACGTTACTTCACCCATGACCCAACCATGCTGCATCCAGCACCAATTTTGTTGCACTGGGTGTGTGAGTCATGCAGGGAGAGCGCTGTTGAGTGTTCAAAGCTCAGGCTGTTGAACGTGCACAGCCAATTTTTTCCTCATTAAAATGTGCATAAAACCATAGATTCATGGTGTAAAGCTCCACAAGCAAAACCCAGTAAGCTGGAGAGTTCAACTATCTTTCTTCTTTTTTGGTGCAGGCATTTTCATTTGGACCTTCCATCCTGCATTTCACAATTGTCTTAACCATGTTGATGGTGTCGTCCACATCAGCATCCCATGGATCAATTGAGGAGTCCACAAATCATGTGTCACAAACCTCTTTTATTAACTAGATCTTTGGATTCATGCTTTTTGTTCAAAAGTTCTATAACTAGATTGGATGTAAAAGATAAGGGCACAGTTGAATCAGTATGTACTGGCTTAAATGGTAATTTACTCATCCAGACCATGAAAATTGACAATAACTGGAACCCGGGAAATTCACGGATTCCCAGTCTGACTGTACGATCCCATCCAAGTCTAGCTGCATTAATCATAATTATTCTTGTTGACAGTTACTTTTATTCATTTATTCCTTTACCAAATCATATAACACTCGTATAAGAGAAAAGTCCTGCAGAACAAGGCCAACTTATTTGTTTTTAAGCATTCGGAACCCTAAGTTTGCTTTCACCTCACTGTCATACATTCAGTTTCATTTTTCTTTAATGAACCATACAATGCCCATACAAGAGAAAGCCCTGCAGGACCACTTTGAACACGTGCTTTTAAGTATGTTTAGTCTTTGATAAGTCTGCTTCTTAGAGGCATGCAGGGTACAAGCTACATGATTAGCTTCAATGCATGTAAAAACTTGATATAACCAAATGCAAACAAGTATACATGTAACCACATGCATGTGTATAATTAATCAGATTGAGTTTTACTAAACTGTACACAATAGATTCAATAAGTAACTAGATTTTGCAAGAACTTTCCAAGAACAATATAACAATGAGAAGGAACATAATGAAAAGGGCGAACAACACCATTCAAACAATCAAAGAATCTTCTCAAACAACTAGTAGGTTAAGGGTCCATGCCACAAAGAATGTACAGTAAATAACTTTTTGCAGATGAAATAGAGGAACATACATTTTTTATCAGCAAGGAACATACATATTTTATAGGAAAAAAAAGTAGGAATTTGCTGAGGTGTCTCCTAAAAATATTTTAGGAGAACAGGCATATATCACAGGTAACAGCTCTCTTTCTGCTCACATAAACAGTCAACAATGTTTCAAACTTTCAATGAAACTAACTTTTCAGGGATGTCCCTCACCCAAGCCTGTTTGATTCTGCCTACCTTTCTGAGAACTAATATTTGAATCTTATTGACTATGTATTCAGAACCCTCATGTATAGACTCTTTGTACACAGGATCTGGTGTAAATCTCTGATATAGTTTTAAAGCAATACAATGTTTACTTTAGTATTTACCCTCTTCAAAAAAAAATGTTTCAATGACATTAAATTTGAAGAACAAGTGAAAGAATCCATTAGAAACAGAGATTAAAACCATGCCCCCTCATATGGTTTCTCTCTCATCCAAACAGCTACAATGTGGGCCTCAAACATCTCTGTACTCAGTTTCAGACATCTCCTTCCATGATCTGGCAAAATCTCCACACCCTTTTACCCTTCAAATTAAATACTCAATAAAAAAAAATATAATCTATTCACTTAAATCCTTGAAAGTTTTTCCTTTCTTATTCCCTATTAGATATGTTGCAATTTTAGTAGAAAGTGATGAGGATGCAATTAAGAATAATGCTCAAGATATGACCCAAAAGCGCCATTTGCTATACCTTTGGCTTAACCATTAGGGAGAAACAGAAGAGCATGCTAACTCATAAAATTAGAGCAAGCTGGTTAAAACGAAGAAATGCATCAAGGATTCGAGTATGCTCTGTTATTAGGACATACCAATGAGACCAAAAGGAAAGTTTTATAAAATGACCACAACTATAAGACCAATTTATGTGTAACAGTGTGCTGAGTAATTAGGAATAACATATCAAGAAGATGAGAGATTAGGTAGATGAGAATGCAAAGATGACTTAGTAGCAAGATTAGCAATAATACATTTAAAAATGAAAAGAAGACACAAGAATAGTCCCATTTAGGTAACAAGATGAGATGAAGTTCAGTCAGATGGTTTAGCCATGTACAAAGAAGGCCAGTAATTGCACAGTGAGGAATGGCTTGGTGCAAATAATTGGGATAATCTGGTTGAGGATATGAATCTTGATAAAGTACAATGATGCAACAGAGTTGTGTACAGAACCATAAATAATTAGGGCAGCACTTTAATCAGTTGGGTTGAGTAATATTCTTTCCACTTGCTCAAGCTTTCTAATATGTAGCACCTCTCAAGTAACTAAGTTTCACCTGCTTGTTCATATTCCTTGATATCTACCACTTCCAACCAAGTGAGAATTAGACTACATCATCTTACCAAGAGAGAGAAAGAGAGAGAGAGAGAGAGGGAGAGGAGACTAATTGATATCTGTGATGCCTGGACTACCCTCAATTCAGTTTTAAGATTGGATACCATGGGTCGATGGGTTATGACTTACGAGAGTAAAATGAACATTATAACACCATGCAATGCCAAATAGAAAAAAAAAATAACAAAAACAAAAACAAAACAAAACAAACCAGCATGTAGAGTTCAACCTGACAATAGCATATGCATCTCAATGTACAAAACAAAAAGGGAAAGGAATAAAAAGAAAAGGAAACAGACCACAACCACAATATCTCATAAGGCACCTGACTTGCCATTTGTGTTGCCTAACCAGTTGCACAAGTGCTTAATCTGGCACCTTATGGCAAGGCAGGCACCGACTGTGCATGCATGAAAGACAAAGACTCTAAGAAACCACCCATATAGCACCTTATCACATAGGCAGGTGCCTTGACAACTATGGTATTGTATAATTATAATGGAAACAAAGTTAGTATTCATATAATTAATTATTTACATTAGTTTTTTATCAGAACTAATTATTTACATTAATTAACTGGTTAATTGTCTTGTTTTTTAATTATTTATAATAATTAATTAGTTCTTAACATAATTGTTTATGGTCATTCTATGACTTGATTAATTAATATATGAAACATCACAGATAGTAATCATCAAATGTTAAATAGAATAGTAGAACTAACTAGTATTTGCACAAGATACTATAGCTAATTAAGTAATTAGTTTCTAATTGAACATTTTCGAACAATTTGTTTTAAAAATGAAAAACTAACAGAAGGATAAAGAAGGAATAAATAAGGGCTTACTGTCAGATCCAAAGGGACAGGACTTATGTTAATTGACTTTGCACATTCCACACCTGCATTAACTTGGCACATCATTCTTGTGTCAACTTGGGAGGGCTTGGAATAGGTTACCATAAATAAACCTATAATATATTCTGCGGTTACCTAGGACAAGAAAGATGAGTGTTCTTCAAAAACATTATGGCAGAAGATTGACACCTAATAGTTGATCCCAAAGGTGATGATACCAATTATGAAAAGGAGACAAAACATTCAACTCCATAAAAAAACACAAATCTGGTGCTAAGTAGTCAAGTTATAAAACCTCCCTGAGGTGGGGGAACATAATAAATGAACCTGAGAGAAAAGACTAAATCAATGTATGACCCGAGGCTACCAACTGAAAAACAAAATGTTTATAAGTTGAGCTTTACTTCCCTCTAGACAATAATTAACTAAATTTTTGAGTTTACACCTCTCTCCTCTCATCACGATCAATAAAGACAAGGAATTTAATCAAGAAGATATAATATCACCAAAAGGAAGATGACCTTGTAGAGAAGGTAGTAATTTCACCAAGCTTTCAGTGACCAACAATATCCATAACAGCTATACCCAGTGGCAGGTACTTGATGCTTATTTTAAAACAAATTATACTCGAGCCTTCTAAAGTTATTTGGTAATGGAATAGGATCATACTCTACTACAAACTCATAGTCTATTGTGCTCCATGATTGTCCTTTGATGCCTTTATATTGACCAAGTGCATCAGAATATAAATATTTATTTAAAAGAAAAAAAAGAAAGAAGGCCATCCAATAGCCAGAATTCTTGCCACAAGAATAAATACAACAAATTCGACCATAAGAAGGTTGATGAAGCATAGTCCAGGAAAAAGAGGAAATGTAGAAAAAGCCTACTTACTTTTTCATTTTTGTTTTAATTTTCAAAGCCCATATAATCTATTTGGCATCAGCAGCTTTCACCTCCTCATCTGAATCTGAATCACTCGCATTATAACCTAACGAGAACCAAATAGAAGTTTCTAAGACAAACAGAGACATAATCATAAATGGATAGATAGATAGATAGGGAATCACCTGGATGTTTATCGCTAACCTTCCAAACAGAAGATCGACTTCTTGAAGCTCTTGTAATCCAAGCTCTTCCCTACAATTCCAACATAAAATGAAGTTCTCAAAATAAGACTGATCATAACAGAGGAAAAAGGAAGACTTGCATTGCCCCATAAAATCTACCGAAACAAGAAAAGGTTAAAAAAAAGGATCTTAGTATGAAAAAAGAACCCTAATTCCCTGCGACTTTAGATAATTAGATTTACTGACAAAAAAATACAACTCCGAAAAGCGGATTAGAAACTCAAGAAAAAAACCCATATAAATGGAAAAATACGAAAGCCCCAAGAATTCACCTTCTGCGCATCTCTAGGAACTCCATAACCACTGTAATACATCTGACCCACCAAGACCTGCATGCCACTGTCGCCGGCCTTGGCCTCCTTAAGTGTGTCTTGAAACCAGCGCCTGACACAATCAGAGACCACCTCCGACAAAGGCACCCGGTTCTGCCTCTCTGGGTTCTCCATCTTCCAACGTCAAATTGCTATTTCCGGCGAAAAAGAACTGCTTTAACAAATTCTTGTAGCCTGGTCGTAAAATGAAGTGATTTTCCCACAAAGCACAAGGCTACCGTATCTATATTTATCTATCTAGAATATAAACAAACAGACGAAGAACAATTTGTCAGAACGAATAAAATAGCCATCATATTGGTTTCTCTTAGAAAGGTTGAACCCTGCCCATGTCTYTAAAATCCCTGAAAACCAACATTGTAGTTGTGTTGTAAAAGGCAGAGCTTAAACCCATACTACCACATGAGAGAGAAGAAAAGAATGAACATGAACGAAAAGTATTATTATTTACATGTGTCAGACCGTGGAGCTGGTGGCTAGGAGGAAGGTTCCTAGATTCTTAAATTTTAATACTTTTAAAGAGCAATCTGAGCATGCGATGTTTTTTTAGGATAGAAACAAAAGGTACTATAGGGTAGCACGCCCCACAAAATCACCAAAACAAATAGAAGTTAAATCATAAAATAGAGAGAAACAATACCACTAGACAAAGAAAGAACCTTGTTAGCTGGTCAATCCGTGCTTGGTTTGCCTCTGAATACATGTGCCTGTAGCAAATTCTACCTACTTATCTTTTCTTCCCAGCAGTTTGACATTACATTCCTGAGATTTCAAGGAGTAGGGATTAGATTGGACCTTTCAAATATTTTATAATTAGATTGAACCTCTTCAATAGTGGTTAACAACTAGACATTTTATAACTAAACTTCGTAGCTAAATTATAAGCTTCCCAAGTTATAAGTTTTGTAATTCAAAATCTTGCTCAAATAGTTTCTTGCAAAAGGCATTGAAATTGATTTTAATATAACCCAAAAAACATATTTTTTTTAATTTTCTTAACATCTTTTCTATTGTCTGGGTCCCCATTAACCCAAAAAACATTTTTATTTTCTTAACATCCGGACTCGTTTCTGCAGTTTGAGAAAGCAATCTTTGATTTGCTAAATCCGGACTCGTTTCTGTGGTTTGAGCTGAAAGGGCCTCTTCAACTTGAGTTTTCTTTGCCCCATGGACAAGGTTAGAGTCGTTAGGGTTAGACCCATCACCTATGAATTGAGACCGGATCTGCTCCTCATACCTCATGCCTCACAGGCGTTTCACACGCACATCCAATCATGCATTGGGAATCTCCCCATATTTATTAGTTATTATTCACGGGAGATATTTCCAATGCATAATGGATGTGCCTATGAAATGCCCATTTGTGAGGAGCAGTTCCCGTCACAAATTGGGATCAGTTTTTCATAGAGTATGCTTTACATCAACCTCACAGTTACATCCCACTTATTTTGAAAACTTCTCTTAATGAATAATAAATATAATTACAGAAGATATTCCTGATGTATGGCCAGGACAGGCTGTGAGGTTAGTGTATGGTCTATGGTTTCGAAAGATACAGTGTCAATGGATCGAGTTTGGGTTCGGCACAGGTCTGACTCGATCCGGAACGACCCATCACCCAATACTGATGACAGTACGAAAAAAAAAAAAGAAGGAAAACCATGACTTGATGATGCCAATAGGTCGGGATGAAGAGAACCCGATCCGTTTAATCCGAAGTTAGTACAATATATCGGGTCAATGCAGGTTTATCATAAAGGTGAGACCCACGAAAAGAAGGCTTTGACCATTGCCTTGTAATGTGAATTCACCATGTTTGATGGGCCCTATCAAATGCCATACATTATATAAGTAATTAACCCCTTAATTTAGTGATAAACAGAATAGAATGATAAAAGAAATAGAAATTATGTAATCTAATCAACCCCATCAAGCCTTTGATGATCTCTGCATGTAAAGTGTTGATAGGCTGAGCTCAAACCCGACCCTTGAACAGGTGTAAGGATTCGGACGGACAAAATAGTCGTCATAACTCATAAAATTGAATTGAGAAGGACATTTTCATTCTCAGACGGACAAAATTAATCTTTTTACCCCGAAAACAAAGGGGGAAAAAAGCTGACTAGCCGAGAGATCGAATTTCATAAATTCCTTTAAGCAAGCAATGGTGCAAATCTACCAGATATAAGTAATTAAGCATCCATGACACAAGTTTCTTGCAAAGTTATTTTCCGAGAGATGTCATGATAAACGGATAACGTTCATTTGTTCATCCATGTAGGTTCACAGGGTCCAGATGTCTTGCTATCAATGAAGTTAATGGTTCAGAGTAGTATTGATAGTACTGTATACACTCAGAACCAATCACTTTTGATGAAACTTGGATGACGTTTTGAGCGCGAGAGCCAGCTTCAGTCGATGCAAGGCCTGTTCGAACAGTTTTTACAGTCTTGCTCTGTATTATGTGCTTTATTTCACAGCTTTTACAGTTTTGCATCAGGAACATCTCTGTATTATGTGCTTTATTTCATGGGGAAATATTCTCAATACAAGATTATAATGGGTGTTGAAACGGGTTTTACACTGACTGAATCCGGTTTCACAAGCCTTGGGCCTTTTTAGTGTTTAAAGTCTTGCATTGAGAATATTTCTGTACTTATGTGCTTTATTTTATAATGCAAAATTAAAAAAAGGCGGTTGGAGGGGTGTGGACCCAAACTTGTTAGTCCCTAACAGAAGCCAATCTCCCCTGTTGCGTGCTAAATATCCAAGGGATGGATCCTCTCCGTGGACTGCAAAACATAAATACTCTTTGAGCTCGACTTAGAATGGTATTCTCTTAGAACTGAGCTGATTAATTAAAGGATCCCGTTGGCAAATTAGGGACGGATGGCATGTCATGGCATGGCTCTCTCTGACCCATGGATTCCATGATTTTACATCTGCGCTCCACGATGCCCTACAGTAAAATGTTTTTGGAAGAATAAGCATATCCCACCACGTATTCATATATATGTTCTTGTGGAGGATCTTAATCCTTGACCAATCTAACTGCTAATCCAATTGTCTTCCCTTAGTGAAACTTCCGTTGGCAAAGTCCCATCCCATTCGAGTGTTGCCAGTTTAAGTTGAAGATTGCAGGAGCTTAATCTCTTTGTTTGAACTGATGTGTGTCACTTTATTCATGCGCGTTGTACGGCAAACCGAGTAGCTCACAACTTAGCGAAGGTTGCTTCCCTGATATAAAGGTTGTTTACTTGGTCTTCTTTACCTGAGTTTACTGCTGATTCTTTTGTAAAAGACCTTTCAGCGTAACAAAAGCTTTGCTTCCAATAAAAAAAAATACTTATTGTACTGTATGAGTTTTTAGGCTCATCCAAATGTTAAAATATTGAAAGTTAGGGCTGTTTCATAGGTTTAAACATAAATATCCATCCTAATATATTTATCTGTTAATTAATCAAACTGAAAATTTAAATAAAAAAAGTATTGTACATTTGTACATTGAAATTAGGGTGCTCACGGTTCGGTGAGGTATTTTCTTGAACCTAACTGATAATATCGGTTTTTGGAAAACCAGTAACCGGAACTGAACCGAAACCAATCGGTTGATCAGTTCGGTTAATCGTTGGTTTGATTCGTCGGCTTTTCAGTTTTTTAGTTTTTATAATATATATAAAATATTATATTTTAAATAATAAATAATATATTATAAATATATATTTATATTTATATATAATACATATTTATTAATTTATAATATATAAAAATGTAATATATATATATATATATAATATAATATAATATACATAAATATATAGAAATATATGTATACCGGTTGGTTTGATTAACCACCGGTTTTTTTTATATTGATTAACCGAAGCCAAACCGGTACCTTCATTTTTTTAAAAACACCGAACCAACCGATTCGATTAATCGATTTTTCGGTTCAGTTTTAGTTGGTTCAGTTTTTTCGCTCACCCCTAATTGAAATTATCCAAAATATCAATACTTTGAATCACTGGATTCCTACAAGGCTACATTCCTTTCTATTAATGCGGTTTTATACAATGCTTTTGTTTGGATACCCAACTGGATTTTGTACGTGGCACCATTATTTTCAGCACCAAAAATCTCTCTATCTTAAACACATCCAGTCATTTTTTTCGAAAGAAAAAAACAACATTATTGCATGTGCTATTTACGATGGCTAGTTGGACGGTTTGGACCATTTACGGGGTGTTTGGTTAGATACTGATAAACAACTTTTCTACTAATATCAACTATAAAAGTTAAAAATGTGTGTTTGGTTTTACATCCATAAAATAGTTTTTTTTTTTTTAAGTAAGCTTAAGTAAACCAAGCCAAATAAAATATAACTAGCCAAGCAATGCCTTGGTGGAGTCTAAACGATTTGCAGAACTTTCACATGGCAAGTAGTTTGTGAATCGAATGAGTTGATGCATCCTTCTCCTCATAATAGATTTACGAGTTTTGGTCCCAAAGACCTTGCCACACGTTCTAAACAAGTTCCCCAACTCAGTTCAGTCCAGATCTTAAACCTAAAGGCTGTCCTAGGTTGTAAACTAACCAAATGACAATTCACCAAAATTAATGGGAGTGGTTTTGATTGGTCAGGCTCTCAAATGTGAGATTTTCCAACATCATACATGCACTCTCACTATTTGAGATTGTGACCAATCAAAACCACCTTGTGTATTTTCATAAATCCTCATTACTTGTAAAATTTGTTTTGCCTTATAGTATAACTCCCTTCTTGGACCAAGTAGCTTAGGGCCATTAGTCAATGATGGTCCCAGCCATACAACGTATTGGGAGGGGCAGAATTGCATATTGACCAAGCTTTTCTTTTCCTTTTCTTCTTTTAAAAAAAAAGTGGAGAAGTGGAAGTTCTCAGAACCCAATATTCTTATGATTGTCATGCCAAGAATTTATCATTTTCATCAACCATGTAATTAGTTGGAACTCTTTACATTTTCTTTGGTAGTTAGAAGCTTAAGAAATTTTAATAACGTAAGACCTTTATTTTGAAGGTATCACCTACAATTTCTCTCCCCATAGATATATCTCTGGCATTTTTTTGATACAAACAAAAGGGGAGAGCCTGAGTCTCATAATTAGATTCAAAGAACGAAGTTGATATCAAGCTTTTGATGCTATATACGTATAGAAATTGAAATGGCGCTTACACGCTGAGACTCGGAGTTGATGCATACATACGTTATCCAATCCCACTGATTTCCTTTTTTTTTTTTTCTTTTTAGTTGTGGGTAAGATGCAACCTTAACTATTGAATACATTTTCAATGGCATAAAAAAAAAAAAAAGAAAAAGAAAAAACATATAATACATGGATACAGATAAGAGTTGACATTTTGGTGCAGCTGGTAACCTCCATCTACTAATTCAAGGGGAGAGTATAACGATCAATCTGCTGAGTATGATGGCAGTCCCGACATTCCAGGAAAACGAATGGTTTTCAAGAATCACTCCAACTGTCACCATCATCTTCATCACTCCCGACCAATGCCTGTGTCAACAAATCAAAAGTTTCAACAAGGTATTCTGGAAACAATCTCAAAACATTGAAAGAAATTTGATGAGAAGAGGCTAGAATCTACTAATCAGAAACCAACCTGGCGCATGGCATTTGCTTTCTCTAAAATGGCAACAACATTCAAGTTGGTTTTGGATCTCTGAATGATGGGCCTTGTTGTAACCACAGGTTTCAGGTTAAAAGACTGAGAACCAAAACAAGATCCTCAAGATTAGAGTTTAAGAGAGTCTTATAGAACACAAAATATGAAATTGATGAAATGAAAGAACAAGGAATATCACTATGTCCAACCTTAGCTCTTATCTGTTCTAGCAATGAATCCCTTTCATCCTTCCTTGGTCCAACCAGAGGCCGAATCCATTCTTCCACTTTTCTCAACTGCAAAACCATTTAAAGCAGAAATTTTACAATCCAAAAGTCCTGAAGCAACTTCACGTCTAGAAACTTATACAACATGAATTACCATCATTACCGTGCTTTTGTCATGAGAGGCCACAGCTTCAATAAGAGGATCTCTAGGCCGAGGTTGTTTTATCTGAATTTTTCCATTCGCCCTTCCATCCTCAACATTTGGGAGCTGTTCAAATGTGCCCATCGGCCACATTACCTCTCCCTCTGAACTAAGCGAAGGATGTGGAGGCTTCTCAGCTTGTACAGTCATTGGCAGTACAGATAAATCTAAATGCTGTGTTATTCCTCTCTCTGGAGAGAGGGAACTTTGTTGAAGCATCTCATCTTCTATATTTGGCTTTGGTGCCAGAAGGCTCAGAGGCTCCACTGACTCTCCCTGCAAAGACATAAAAGCATGCCTAGAATTCATATCTTTGATGGTTGATTGTAGCGATGTGAATTGGTTCAAACTAGGCTGCATGGTTTCTTCCCCTGAAGCAAGGGTACTGTGTTGGGGCTTCTCATCTTCTGGAGGTGGTGATGGAAAGAAAGGGTTCAGATTTGGCATTTCTCCCACACAAGTTTGGAAACAATGCTCACTATTTTCATCATCCACCATCACTGGTGGTTGTGGCAAGAACGGATTCAGACTAGAATTCAAGATTTTTCCCCCAAATGTTTCACTATCATGTTGAGGTTTCTCATCTTCACAGGCTGAAGGTAGTGATAATGAGTTTGTAGGCGGTGTTGTTTCTCTCTCAAATGTTGACAAACCCTGCTTAGCCTTCTCATCAGATGTGGCTGATAGAAGTGGTAAGAATGGGTTCAGACTAGATTGCACCATTGCACGCTCTGAAGTTAAGGAACCATTTTGAAGCTTGCCCATCCTCCACTGTATAGGAGGAAGAGGTGGTAGCGGTGGCATCTCCAATTCAGCCTGTAGTGCATTAGGATCTAAAACTGGCAAATCAATTGCTGGTCCTGTTGGCTGTTGTTCCAAAAGTTTCTGGTGGGTTGCTCCAGGGAGAATGTCAAAGCTAGGGAATTGGTCCATGTCTCGCACAGATATACCAAAGCTTTGGCTATCAGGCTTTGGTGATAACATTGCCTCACATTGTTGACTGGCCACCCAAGAAGACTCAGATGCAGTAAAGCGGCCATTCTGATCAATATGATCTGGAGGTCGCATTTGTTCACACTGAAGATCAGACAATTTTGAACTCTCTTCATCATCATGACAAGACTCTATATTGGGTTTATCAGCCTGTAATTCCAACACTTGTTCTGAAGGGAACCCAGATTCTTGTAGCAAATGAGTGGGTGAAGAGACAGCATCTTTTGCATTTTCAGAAAAATCTGTTTGGTAGGTGGATTTTGATTCCCATTCTTGATTTGTTTCATCAGAAGATTTAGGAACCCAGAGACCATCACTGAGATGCAAATGGCTCAAATGGCTTGGAGCATGTTCAAACTGCAGTGAACAGTCATGAATATTCTCAAGTAATTCAGAAGTGGGAGGATCATGCAATTCCAATGAATCATATGAACTCTGAAGTAATTTAGAGCTGGAAGAATCATGTGACTCCAGTTTAGGCTGTTCATTCAAATTTTCAGTGGACAATTCTAGTTGATTCACTTCTTTTTGATCATCTGTAGGTAAAATATGCTCTGGAGTATGTGCCTCAGACATTTCCAATTTAGACAATTCTGAATTACCATTGAAAAGATACTCTTCTTGCAACTTTATTTGACCAAAGGATGGAGAACCTATCAGGTATGGGTGAGCAGAGGCATCATTGTAATCATCAGCCTCTGCATTAACAGTTTCAGTTACTTTCTCATCTAACTGCAAATGAGTCTCAGCCATCAATACTGGTTTTGGAGAATCAGGTACCTTACATATGGATGAAATTTCAAGAGAGAGAGAAGTTCCCATAAAATCACAGGGATTCATATGGACCATATCAGGTTTAGATTCATCTGTTACCTCGACATGAGATATATCAGATGGTACTTCCTGTTTATTGGAAGGTGTTTTCAGTTCAGAATGCTCAGTGTCATTTTTCTCCTCATCCAAATCAAATGTTGGAAACTCATTGATACTTCCTGGGACATCAACTTTGGGTTCATTCTTTAACATGATATCAGATGCATTAGATAGTACTTCCATATTGTTGGAAGACATTTTCACTTCAGAATGCTCACAATTTTCTTCACAAGTTAATTCACGTGGTGGAACCTCATTTGTTCTTCCTGAAACATTGTCTTCAGCAAACTCATTAGTCCTTCGAATATTGAACTCTGGTGTCAAGCTTTCTGAGTTCACTCCTATTGGAAGAAGGATATCCCTATCTGTATCAGGCTTTACATCATCCACATCACCAGCAGAGACAGAGGTAGGCATATGTTCAGGTGTACTACATGGATGTTCAGCTGCTGTAAAACATTCACATGCTTCAAGACCTCCTGTCAGGCCTTCAAGATGTTCTTTTGTAGGCAAGATGACTACATGTGGTAAAGAAGAGCTTTCAATAGAACCATCTTCACAATATCTTGAGTTTCTTTCTGTTGATAAAACAATGATATCTGTTTCCACAACCTTGTTATCAGGATTCACATCTTCTAGACCACCAGCATTGGTGGGAGGAAAAAGTTCAGCTTGTGTGGTACCTGAACAAGCTTCCAGGTTTTGTTCTTCCAAGCCATGGACCTGCACTGTAGGCAAAACAACAGAATGTGGTGAACCAAAGTTTTCACTAGAAACATCCTCAGGATATTCTGTGGGAGGCACTTCTTCAAAGTCAGTACCACTTTCTTCCTTTTCAGGAGCTAGGTTTGAAATGCTATACAGCTGTGGCAAAGCATCAGAAGATCTATCCAAGGCCCCACCATCCAATACTTCCAAATGTTGGCTTTTGGCAGACACAGTACCAAGAAAGTCATCCTTCACACCATCCAATTCCTCAGGCTGGGTTTTCATAGGCCCCTTAAGGAGACTATCATCCTTCATCTGAGAAGAGAAATCCGAGGCACTAATTGGACAGGATAAATCCACGCTTAATATTTTCCCATCATCTTCCATAATTGAGGATGAACCTCCAGTACAAGATTTCACAGAGACAGAGGAGATCTCAACTGATTCTTGTCCCTGCAAGTGAAACTCATTCAAACTGATGTCAGAACTTAACTGGAAATGAGTAGTTGATTCTGTGATAGAGAACTTGGAAGATGTTTGCCCAAACTCAGGCCTGTGACTTGGATCCTTCAATTCCTTAATGCAACAACCACCTGGGATCATGTCATCTGAAGATTTAGTTGCAAAACCATCTCCATTTAGCTTTTTGGAAGACACGTCCTCAGGTTTATCCAGGCATGTCTCGATAGATGGGTACACTTTGGCTGCTATATCACCATCTGACGGTGCAGTCTCAGCACAACTACTTAGAGTATCTGAATTGGAAAAATTAGATCCTCCTTTCTCAAATGAAATATTCCCATCATCTGAAACACTAGATTCATCACCAGAATGAGAGTCCAAAAATTGGGCTTGAAGCTCCAGTTCTTCCTTGTTAGTATCAGAATATACTCCCTGCCTTTCAATATTAACAAAGCCTCTATCATTCTTGGTTTTACTCTCAGTATCAGTTTCTATTTCTGATTCCATGGTAGCAAGGGCATCCATATAATTTTCCACCTCACTGGTGTTGCCGTCGGACTGATAACCATCACCACTGGCTTCTAGCTTCCTTTCCACATTGACTGCTGATTCCTTTTGATTCTCTGTTGATTCCCCTTGGTTGTGAGGTTTATAAAAGGTGGATGGAATTTTCTCAACCTCGTTATTTGGGATTTGTTCAGGTGACTTTTTTAATCCCTCAACAGCATCCTCATGCAACTCCTCCATGGATGGTTCTAATACCTTTTCCTGTTTACTGGGAGATACAACTATGCTTGTTTTCCTCTGCTGTAATATGTTTTTATCAGGGTTTTCTGTACTAATTTCATGTATATCGGAACCCAATGCACTGGCATCTCTGGATGTTGTCTTCAAGTTAGCAGAGGTTAGAGAACTTTCACAGACAATTTTGTGCTTGGGTGAAAGACTCTCCACAAATCTCTCCATGTAGCTTTTCCCAGTTGTTGAGTCAAAAGGAAATGCATTCAATTGCCTCTTCTTCAATTTCATGCGATATCCAGGGACATTATTCTCAGTCTGGTTATTCTCCTCTGAGAACAACTGATGCAACCTGCATCTTTACAACATCAGTCACCAATTTTGCATTCCAAACCTTACCAACCATTAACTATAATATCTAATGTTTTATTAAAAAAGGCATGGAGGCCTTACTTGGAATCAGAAGCTGGGAAAGCCTCTTGTGTCTCTCCATTCCTCCAGCGTGATCCTTTTCTCTGCCATTTGGAGGAGGGGATAGATATTTAGTAGTTAACAGAAAAGGTTAACATGCAGCATGTGGGTGCTATTGTCATCTATATATGGTAAGAAAATCTATCATTGGCAGTTGCCAAAACCATTAAATGGCAATCACAGGAGGCCTAAAATGCAGCCCCTGATGAGAAGACCTAAATGATAGAATGGTAATCTTTGGCTCAGATTGCCGAAGAAGACCAAAAATGCAGCCCCAACGAGAACTTGAGAAGAACAATTATAGTGAAAACTGCCACAGCAAGATGATAATTTTCCTGAGGCATGGAAAAGCCACACTTAAACTATACCATGTATACAGCCTATAGATGTATAAACCCATAAATGACACCACCCATACAAGTGCTGTACCTAAAAATCAAATATTTCAAACATTTCAACTGCCAATTCAAGGACAAAAGAGCAAAACTTATCAAAAAGGAAAGTGAAAAAGTTGTTATCTGAGTAGAGCAATGACTAGTATAGTAAAAGGCAAAGCAATTTAGCAGAACCAAGAAACCAGTCTTTTAGGAATCTCTGTATTTACATTTGTGCATATAACTCATGAAGGATGCAACAACATCAAACATCCAGATTGATCAATGCCTCGATGGCATGCAGTGTAACAAGATGCCAAATAACTCAGGACAACATCAAACAAAAGATGAGAGTATAGAAACGAGTAATCAGACATACATTGTCCGCTACTCTTGTAAAGTGAAACATGAGGAAATTACAACTCAAAAATTCATTCTACCATGAAACTAGAAAGGATATTAAAACCTAACTCTCCAGAGCATGGTATGAAAACCGTATGCAGGAATACCAACAATTAAAAGAATGTCCTGTATGGTCAGGAGTTCCTCCAGAGCATTTTCTAGGGTGACTTTACAGTAAATATAAGGCCATAAAAAGAAGCTATAAGCAAAACAAACACAGGTTAGCTTGGTGTAACATGTTTCTTTTACTGCTTCAGAAAAACTGAATAATCAAGACTTATCTAAGAATCTTTTGGCTATAGATACTACTACTACTACTACTACTACTACTACTACTAATAATAATAATAATAATAATAATAACAGCAATACAGAAATAAAGCAATAAAGCATCTAATCATATTAACAAAGTTTGACACTTAGATACATGCAAGAATGCATGTATACAAATCTTGCTACCTTTAATTTTCTTGTGGAACACACATTGGCAGTGAAAAGCAAATTAAGTAGTCCCTATTAGATGGCAATAACACAAATAGTCTTTACAACACTATTATTCAATTCTCAAGTTCCACATCCAGGTCACCCCTAACATTGGACTATCCACTCCAGTAAAGTCGTGATGCTAAACTATGTTATATTCATAATACTGTGACACATATGAATTCAAAGGCTTGTAGCAAGTTGGGATGTTGTAGCAACTTCCACCATCATACAATTACATTTTGTGGTTATTTCCTCATCTTCTTTAGACATTTTAATCGTTATGACCAATAACTCCACCAGCAAAGATTGCAATGACGAGAGGATGAGTATTTCAGAAGTGAGTCATGTGGAGATTCAGATTAACTCAGATAGAAGGCTTAACGAGAGGATGAAGACTCTTAATGCAAGCTTGATTGGGAGATTCGTTGGAATGGATTTGGAGAAGTGGTCAACTGGGCCTCTTTTGAGTGGAGTAAGGGTAGAATTTTGGGTGTCAGAAAGCTGAACGGGGGACTGTTCTTGTTTATGTTTCATGGCAAGGAGGCAGAGTGGGTTCTGGAGTCTGAAGCTAAGCTGAGCAGGGGTTGTGTGCATGTGACTTATGGTTAATCTGGTGGTTTCCAGTGGCAAATCTTCTACAAGAAAGCAAAAGGAGGAGGGCGATCTGGATTGGAGTTTTGGGAATCCCCCTGCATGTGTCGAGTGAGGAATCCTTCAGAATGATTGGGGATGCCTGTGGTAAATTCTTGATTGCTGATGAAAGGAATAGCAGTTGGGAGAAGATCAACATTGCAAGAATTTTGGTGGAGGTTGATGAGGTCTCTGCGATTCCAGATTGTTTAGTTCTGGCTTTTGCAGGTGAAAAATATGACCTAAGAATTTTTGTCAATGGAGAGGATAATACCTTTTTAGATCATGTGATGAAAAGAGAAAATAACAGAATTCTGAGAGGCCTGAAACAGGGTTGGAGCTTCAGGATGGTTGCTCTGTTGAAGAGGGGAAGTCGAAGGGTCACTCGAATGAGGAAGACAATGGAGGGGGGGAGATACAAGGGGCATAGCAGTAATTTCGAGTGGGACAGGGGCTTTAATTCAGAGGCATGCGGTTGGAGTCGGCAAGGATAATACGAAAAGGTGCAGTTTGGAGGGCAGGAGATTAAGTGAAGCTCTCTAGTTGATATGTGAAAGGTCAAAGGGTTCAATTGAGACTTCAGGTTCTGAGAGTGGGGACCACTCCCTGAGATCAAGATTTAAGAGAATATGCAGTGGTTTTAGGTGCAACAAAATTAAGGCAAGCAAAGTAATTGGTGCCAAGGTTTTGCAGTTCAAGAGAAGAACGAGAAAGAGGGATCTCCACAGGCTTTGAACCAGCAAGGTGGAGAATTGGGTTTGGGTCATCGCTAATTATGACAGCTCTGAAGAAAAACTGTGAGCCTGAAAAACAAGGAGAATCAAGCTGATGAGAAGGAGCTTTGTCGTCTTGCGTGCGCTGAAGTTGTTTTCATTCCAAGGGAGAGGTGCCGGGAGATCAGAGGAACAAATAAAAATTAACCAGCTTATAGGCAGGTCTCTTTGCTTTGGCTCTTTTGTGGTGGAAATTCCTACTGATCTACCTCAAGTGGGGCATTTGGTGTTGTCTAACTGGGATTCCGCTAGGGTTGAGGGAGGCCAAGGAGGAAAGGAGGCTGGGTTAGAGAAAGGGGAGGAGGAGGGTATAAGGGGGGATGAAAGTCCTCAGAAGGGGTGGAGAGGAGGGGAGGAACTCGAAGAAAGGGGAGTGAAGAGGTTGGAAACAAGCAGTCAGCCTAAAGAAGCGAGCAAAAGAGATGAGTGGCTGGACCAGAAGTTTGAGAAGAGTGTTTATGCTTTGAAGTCCCAGTTGGAATGCTTGGAGTAAACTTAGGCCGAAGAAGGAATTCTGAGATCAAGGAAAGGGATGCTACTGCCTTAGATACTTTGAAGAAAGTAAGAGACTCGAGCAAGTTCCAGCTTATTCACATGTCAAAAGTTTTTTCACATTTGAAAGATGGTTTGGTTGGTGCTGGTCCTACTAACAAATTCAAGAAAGCTTATAAGAAAAAAGGCTCAAAAGACAAAGCTTTGAAAACGAAAGTTGCTGAGATCAAGAGAGCCAAGTGCCAAGATTCAGAAGGGGTTCAGTTGCAACGGACGTCGGCTACTAAAGAAGGTTTGGAGTCAAGGTCAGAGTTTGAGGATGAGGAAGGGGGTAATTGAGATAGAGAAGGGATTAATTGCAACTTCATCAGTCAGTGTGCGTGAGAAGGGGGGAAAGTGGAGATTGAATGTTTGGTTGATAGGGATGTTAGGGTGGGCAAGAGCTTAGGTCTGTTTTATTGAGGTGGAGAGGAGTTTGCTAGAAAGGTTTTCAAAGCTTTTGAGAAAAGCAAGAGGGAAGAGAGCTCGAAGAAGATTGCAGTTGGGGGAAGGAGGAGAGGTGTGGAATGAGGAAGGAGATGGACAAGGTGAATTGCTTGACGAAGACTTTTAAGCTTGCTCTTGTTTGGGGTGGCTTTCTATTGCTTCCCTCTGTTTTGTGATCTTAAATTTTTGCTTTTGCTGTTGATGGGTGGGTGTTATCTTAACACCTTGTTCGTTTTTTGTACTCGATCCTTTTCCTTTCAATAATATTTTTTTACCTTTCAGAAAAAATGAATTCACAGGCTTGGGACCCACCACCAGTCCACCACTAAGCAAGTACTAAGTACTAATTTTCCATGCCAAAAGATACCCAATCAGAGAGTTAGTTCGTATAATAACATTTTTGAAAAAGGTATCATATAATAATTTTGATATTTGAGCTAGAGAACTCCTCACTGAGTGTCAACAGTTCCCACACCTATGCTACATGTATACACCATATATATTAAGAATACCCCATTCCAACCCTATGAAGATAATATATTACTTGAAGGGCAGAAATACATATTTTTATATATATCAAAACAGAGCCTCCTTGGAAAGTCACTAGACATGATTCCCGAGTAACACAATATTCATTATGTACTGCTGTTCTTTTCAATACCATACCTTGACTTTCCGTACTTTCTTTTCCCTTTGAATTTCTACTTTGTTGGATTCAGAAGAGGTTAGTTTTATTTTGAAGAATGATGGATCAGAGAATCGCTTTAAACATGCCCCAGCACCTGCAACATCAAACCTGTGGGAGAAGGAAGGTCATTCAATAATAACATTTACAAGGAAAAGAGACCAATGTTTATACATACCCCTGAGGGAAACATGAATAATATAATCTTACTTGTCCAACAGGAATAACCGAGGTGGACCCCGACATTCTTCATAAGAGTCCATTACAAATCGAGGTAAATCTCCCCGACTCACAAGATTTTGGTCCATTTGAAGATTAGGATGCCAGTCGACACCTGGAAAAAAATATTCATGAAACTAAGATTTCTGATTATGGAGCATATCTGAACTAAAATAGACTTCATATCAGTGGAGAAACAGTCCAGTAATTTAGTGAAATCCCTGCCATATTAGTCTTTCTGGGCCTTACTGGACCTACTATGGTTGCTGTTACTATTGCTGTTATTGTTCATTAAGGAGTGTGTTGGGAGGCAGGGGCATAGATATCATTGTAGATCTTGTTATAATAGAAACATATAAATACCAAATCTGGGTGGCAGAAACTGATTGAGATCTTCTCCCTTTCTCTTCTCATTCTTCTTCTATTCTCTTCCTCTCTTCTTTCTTCTGGTTTTCTCTTATTTCTCTTTTGGTTTTCTTGCTGAAACTACATCAGAATACTGATTGACTGTGAACAGCACCAGCTATCTTGGTATCAGAGCAAGGTTTAGGGCTTGCTAGGGTTCCTATGTAGGCTTCTTCCAGCCAGCTACATGAGGATGTATTAGGGATGGATATTTCAGTCTGTCATGCCTGATTCTTGGAGGTTGATTGGAGAAATTCTTGCTGCCCAAGATCTGCAATCTTGGAGATCACCAATAACCAGGAAGAATCAGAGTTCTTTGGATCAGATTAAGGTTTAGGGGCTAAACCTTCAATTGGTACAATGGTACTGGCGCTTAGTGGTTTCTGAGTAGAATAGTTCCTTTATGAGATCGATAGCTTGTAGGAAGTGATTGGGATCTTCTGGAAGGAGTGGCTGAGTCTTTTGTTTTTCTCTCTAGGCTGGTTCTAGGGTTTCTACTGAGAACAGGTCAGTTCTAGAGTCTTTTGACCTACCCCATTTACTTCTACTGTTCTGATTTCACTACTGGACTGTTAAGGGAGTAGTTCAGACCTGTAGTTTGTACTGGATTACTGCATAAGCTCTAGTACTTGTGAGGTCTTTGTGGTGTGATCAGTATGGAAACAGGTGGAAAGGAACCAAAATCCTTTGGAGAAGGATCTATGAGGTCTAGGAGTATGTTAGATAACACTTTTCAGATTACTACTGTTAAATTTAATGGCACAAATTACCTGGAATGGGCCCAATCAGCCATGATGGACATTGGGGGAAGGGGAAAGCTTGGATATGTAACTGGAGACATTAAAAAAACAGCAAAGGAAGACTCGACCTATGCAAAATGGGTTCAAGAAAACTATCTAGTGATGACTTGACTTTGCAACTCTATGCAGCCACACATCAGTAGAAATTACTTATGGGTGAAGACTGCTAAGGAAATCTGGGAGAATACGAAGGAAACCTACTCACAGCCCCTTAATGTTGCTAGGGCATATGAGCTGAAAAGTGAAGTGAATAACCTTAAACAGGGAGAGAAACCTGTATCAATTTACTTCTCTACCTTAAAATCTCTGTGGCATGAGATTGATCACTTGGAGACTATTGAATGGGAAAGCCAAAAGGATGCAGCAACATATAGGAAGTTGGTTGAAACAAATAGGGTGTTTGAATTTCTTGCTGGACTGAATTGAGATTATGATATTGTAGGGCAACAATTACTCACTAGGGACAATGTCACCTTGTCTCAAGCCTCACTAGTACATAGTGAAAAGAGTAGAAGGAAAGTTATGTTACAAATTCCACCCATGGAATCAACCTTGGCAGCAATGAAATCAAAGCCTGTTGGTGATAAGGAGAGGGAAATAAAAATGGAAGACAAGAGGGATATGGTGTGTGATTATTGCAAGAAGCCAAAACACACTAGAGACACTTGTTGGAAGTTGTATCCTCATCTTATTCCAGCAAGACTCAAGAATAAGAAGGGGAATGCCAATGCAGCAATTACTACTGATTGTGCATCTTCCTCTGTTGCAAAATCCACATCCCTAGATGCATTAGCTACAGTCAGAGCTGCCTTAACTCAGTTAGAGTGTGAAGTTGGAGCCTCAAGATCATCTCAACCTTCAGCTGCTACATCTACTACTACTCCCACTTCGGCTTTTGCTCACTCAGGTACAAGAGCTACTGCATATCATGCTTCAGCCCCAGGTAACACTAGCCTTTTTTGGATTGTTGGTTTAGGTGCTTATGAACATATGACTAGTTTATCCTCCATGTTTACTTCCTACTCCTTATCTTTTGGTGAAGACACAGTTTCCATTGTTGATGACTCCCTTGTACCTATTTCAGGCAAGGGAGATATCAGAGTGTCTGATACCATTTCATTATCCTTTGTCTTGCATGTCCCTAAACTTAGCACAAATCTGATTTTGGTTAGTAGCATTACTAAAAATTAGAATTGCTCAATAACTTTTTTCCCTGATCATTGTGTCTTTCAGGATCTGGTGACAAGGAGGGTGATTGGGACTGGCCATGAAACAAATGGAATTTACTTGCTTGAGCATCAACTTGGAAGGAATAAAGATGTTAAGAGGTCTTTTGTGTCTCAGTCTATGAGTCAGATTATGCTTTGGCATAATCGATTGGGTCATTTATCTTTTGGGTCATTAAAGAGTCTTTTTCCTACTTTGTTTGAGTCTCCAAGCGTCTAGCCTAAGGTGTGAGAGTTGTGAACTTGCAAAGCATTGTAGATCAACCTATTCTTTGAGCAATAAAAGAAGCATTGTTCCTTTTGAAATTGTGCATACTAATGTTTGGGGACCTTATCACATTAATGCAGGGGGGGTACAGATATTTCCTACTATTTGTTTATGACTATTCTCGTTTTTCCTGGGTTTATCTTATGCGTTCTCAAGATGAGGTACCTACTCTAACCCGTGCATTCCACCAAATGGTTTTAACTCACTTTGGAGTCAGAATCAAAATTCTCAAATCTGATAATGCCAAGGAGTATTTTGCAAAACCCTTGGCCTCATATCTACTTGAGTATGGAGTTATCCATCTTAGTACTTGTCTTCATACACCTCAATAGAATGAATTAGCTGAGAGAAAGAATAGACACATTGTTGAAATTGCTAGGAGCATCATACTAAATTCTAATGCTCCTATTCGTTTTTTGGGGGGTGCCATCCACACAGTTGTCTACCTTATCAATAGAGTTCCTTCATGGGTTTTAGACATGAAAGCACCTTTTAAGCTAGTGTACCCTAATAAAGATCAATTCACTATTCCCCTTAAGACCTTTGGGTGCACTTTCTTTGTTCAAATCCTTGGGCCTCACCGTTCTAAATTTGATCCTAAGGCAGCCAAGTGTATTTTTCTTGGGTATGCACAAAATCATAAGGGGTATTGCTGTTATGATTCAATCTTCGGGACTAGGTTTGTGTCTATGGATGTTACATTCTTTGAGGATGTCCCTTATTACTCCAGGACTTCACCCTAGGGGGAGAGTGGTGAGTAGGGTGTTTTTGCTCAGGAAGTTCCATTGCCTATTCCTATCAATGAAGGGGAGTGTAGTGAGGAGGGCTGTCAAAAGTGTAAGGAGTTGAGAGTGTTCCACAAACGATGGTGGAAGTAGGTTGGGTTCCAGTAATGAACAGTCTAGGCCACCTTCGGTCTCTTCTGATCAGATTCAGGTATTTCACCCTCTGTACCTACAACTACCATAGATGATATGCCTACTACCACCATTGAACCTCAACTTCCCACAAATGATCTTGACCTTCCTATTGCAATATGCAAAGGAAAGCGTCGTTGCACCTCATCTACTGCCCATTGCATCTCTTAGTTTCTTTCTTATGACCATCTCTCACCATCATATAAGTCCTTTTTGGTGTCCAATGCTTCTGTACCTATCACCAGAACTGTGCAGGATGCCTTAGTAGTACCTGAGTGGAAGGAAGCAATGAAGGTTGAGAGGATGCACTTATCAAAAATGATACTTGGGAGCTCGTAAATCAACCAAGAGGGAAGAAACCGGTTGGATGCAAGTGGATATTTACAATGAAGTACAATGCAGATGGGTCAATTGAAAGATACAAAGCTCGACTGGTTGCTAAGGGATACACACAAACTTATGGTATTGATTATATAAAAACCTTTGCACTAGTTGCCAAAATGAACACAATCAAAGTGTTGTTGTCTCTTGCTACAAAATTCTCATGGTCGTTGTTCCAGATGGATATTATAAATGCTTTCCTGAATGGTGATGATCTACAAGAAGTGTATATGGAGTTGCCCCCATGCTTTTATAATGAAGACAGTGGAAAAGTCTGTTGATTGAAGAAGGCCTTGTATGGCTTGAAACAGTCAAGGGTGTGTGTGGTTTGATAGGTTTAGACATGCCATGGAAAAATTTGGCTATGTACAAGCTCAATCTGATCACACTCTCTTTTTCAAGAAAGTAGGTTCAGCTTTAACTCTCCTGGCTGTATATGTTGATGATATTGTGGTGACAGGCAGTGATAGTAATGAGATTAATTCTCTCAAGAAGTTACTTAGGAATTTGAGGTAAAGGATCTAGGGGATTTGAGATATTTTCTGGGAATTGAAGTGGCTAGATCCAAGCATGGTATCTTCATATCCCAAAGGAAATATTCCCTTGTTCTCTTAGAAGAAACTGGAAAATTGGAAATTAAGCCAACAGACACACCAATTGAGCCAAACCATAAGATAAATGTAGAAGGGGGTGAACTACTTAAAGATAAAGCCATGTGTCAACGGTTGGTTGGAAAGCTTCTCTACCTCTATCTAACACGCCCAGATATTCCTTATGTTGTCAATGTTGTCAATCAATATATGCAATCTCCCAGAACATCCCATCTTCTTGCAATTGAGAGGATACTTGCCTATTTAAAAAGGTGTTCAGGAAGAGGTATACTCTTCAAGAATAATGATCATATGAAGATAGAAGTGTACACTAATGCAGACTGGGCTGAATGTGTGGATGATAGGAGATCTACCTCAGAGTACTGTGCCCTTGTTGGGGGCAACCTTGTTTCTTGGAGGAGTAAGAAACAAACTGTTGTTGTCCGCTCCAGTGCTGAAGCAAAATACAAATCTATGGCTAATGGGGTGGCTAAAGTGTTATGGTTAAAATCACTACTTGAGAAGTTGGAGGTTGAATATGAAAAGCCCCTAATGTTGTAGTGTGATAATCAGACTATTATTAATATTGCTCATAATCCAATACAACATGGTAGAACCAAACATATTGAGGTGGATCAACACTTTAACAGAGAAAGAGTTGCCTCCAAAGAAGTATGCCTTCCTTATGTTGCCTCCGATATGCAGCTTGCCGATCTCTTCACCAAAGCAGTTACAAGGGTCAAGTTAGAGACAGATTTGTGCAAGTTGGGAATGACTAATATCTATTCCCAACTTGAGGGGGAGTGTGGAGAAACAGTCTAGTAATTTAGTGAAGCCCCTGCCATATTAGTTATTTTTTTTTATTTACCTGTTATTACTTATTAGCATTTTGGGCCTTGTTATTAGTCTTTTTGGGCCTTACTGGGCCTACTATAGCTGCTGTTACTATTGCTGTTATTGTTTATTAAGGAGTGTGTTGGGAGGCAGGGGCATAGATGTCATTGTAGATCTTGTTATAATAGAAACATATAAATACCAAATCTGGGCGGCAAAAACTGATTGAGATCTGCCCCCTTTCTCTTCTCATTCTTCTTCTATTCTCTTCCCTTCTCTTCCTCTCTTCTTTCTTCTGGTTTTCTCTTATTTCTCTTTTGGTTTTCTTGCTGAAACTACATCAGAATACTGATCGACTGTGAACAGCACCAGTCATCTATATCATTTGATATCTACATGCTCTAATACAGTTGTATTGTACTTATTTCTGTGGGATGGGGATTATACATACCAATACTCTGCACGGTTACTAAATATCTTAAAAATGAAAGAATAAGGATATTAGGAATCTGGGTTGCCATGGTTGCATTAAAAGAAAAATCCCCCAAGGTGACAAATATATTCATGATCATTTGGTGAACAAATTAGCAGACAACAAGTTCTACTTCTGTTTATGTCAAGGCATAAACCCTTCAATATGCATTTCGATCTACCAGGATTAAAAGAAAAATGAAATGGGTTTTACAAGCTGAACTTAATAATTTACTTATAATGAAAACAAAATATCTCTTTTATTTTGAAATAGGTAAAGTATAAATTCATTAAAGAAGAAAACCATGTACAACAAGAAGCTGTACACAGGGATTTACAAAAAAAAAAAAAAAAAAAACTGCTCAAGCAGCTCTATACCCTCCAGCCCTGCTTTACAAAAAGATATTTTCATGTACAAAAAAAGAATAAATGAATAAAAACAAGATATCTTAAATGAATAAATGTTTTGTTCCTCTATCACTGTTATATGGCCTTGATAATATATGTATTTGCTTGAACATTTTTGTGCCGTTTCATATTTGTAAGATGTTGCTTAACATAGACATGAATTTGTATATCAATATGACACACATAGAGGATGTTTCAGACATAATAAGCCTAGAAAACTGGATAAGTTTATTGAATATATATATATATATATATATTGATCCATAGTACTCTAGGCACATGTGCAGTGGAGAGGTTTTGCGAAGGTGAGGTAATTAGATGATAAGAAGTGAAGAAAGGCTTGAACCTAGGGTTGTACTCTAGGAACCACTAATAGAGCTGTATTTTTGTGAAGTCCTTTCTTAAGGACAATAAAAAAGTATGTTAAACACTCAATTCAAGGAAAACAAATTAAAAGGAGAATAATAACCTGTATTGAAAAGGAATAATGAATGATTGGTCTGGGAGAGAAGTGCTTTCTCAATTGGTGGAACTTCAGCCTCTAATTGTTGCACACGAATCATCAGCCCATGGCCTCTAGCAGCAGTAGCCAACACTTCTTCATGTAAATCATGGAATATCTCTGCTGCAAACCTGTAGCAACAGAACACATATGTCAATCATAATCACATCTTAAATTTATCAAAAAAAATCATAATCACATCTTAAATTTATCAAAACAAAATCATAATCACATCTTAAAATATCAGCATGCATCCTTCAGCACAACCACAAAGAAACTATGAAATTCAGATAGCATCAATAGTTGGTCATGTATATTGGGGGCTACAATATCACACCCTTGTATACAGTCTGTAAACATGCTGAATATCACAGTATAAAGTAAATCTGTACATCAAATTGTAGAATATGATATAAATATTGTGCAATTCCAACACTTGAGTATCAATGTGCACATTTTCCATTGCATATCACATAATATGTTGCTCATGCAATTAGGGGTGGATTCAAACAGAGCCGAGCCAAATATATTGCTATTCGAGTCAGCTTGCCAAAAGAACGTGAGGCTCAAGCTTGATTCAACAGAGACTTGAGCTTGAATTCGGCTCAACTCATAGGGCATATATTCAAGCTCGACTTGGCTTGAGCTCGATTGTGGTCCATGCTTGATATAAAAAATAAAAAATTATACATATAAAAATTAAGAATTATTATACATATAAAAATTAAAAATATTATATATATCATATAAGCTTGATTAGGCTCACAAGCCTCATGATCTGAGCATCATTGGGCTCGAGCTTAGCTCGAAGCTCGATTTAAACCGAGTCGAATCAAACTTTCCACAAGTCAAGCTTGAATAGATCGTGAAAAGCTCGATTCATGTCTACCCCTACATGCAATCATAAATATATGGTTAAGAGTGTAAAAAACCCAACTTTTTTGGTTCATTGCACTCTACATCAACACTTTCAATAAACCAATCCAACTAGACCATTTTTTTAAAAATGGAAGGTGAGAATCTGTGGATTTAAGACCAAAGGTTCATTTTCTTGCTACAAAAAAAGAAAAAAAAAAGTTCTGGTTTTTCTTTGTTGCCAACTGATCTAACAGCTTCATTAATGAAGTAGGACATGAGAAAAGTGCCACTAGGATGAACATTGTGGGAGGGAGAGAGAAATTAAGGATATGAATTATGAGAGTGATTCAGATATGAAATTGAGAAGAAATAATGCACTTTAGAAGAAAAGAGAGAAAGAAGAAGATTGCACTATTACCCACAGCCTGCAGGTAAGTTCCAAATAAACTCTTATTACATTAATTCAACTCTCAAACTCCAATTACAATGAATATTAATACACTAAACTTGAGAGTTCGAAACTCCCTTTACAAACCCCAATTTCAACTGGGAAGCTGACCCAAAATAGATTCTAACTGCTTCAAAACTAAAGCAACCCAATAGGTAACCCACAGGGACACGTGAATAAGGAGTCTAACTCCTAAGACAATTCTAACAACACTTTACTAATCCTACTACAACTAATTTATTGTAAAGACACCAGAAAATAGTAAATTGTGAGTTTACTATAAATAGCTAAAAGTTACCATAAATGGTAAATTCCAACTTTTACTAATAGTAGTAAATTTTTAGAAGACTTAAAACCTTATTGCTAACGTACCAACAACTAAACGACCAAAATTTGAGTAACCAAGATATGAAGAGTCATGGATTTTTCTTCTAAGGATTCTTTCCCTGGTTTCACGACTGCATCATTTTCTTTGATAAGTAACAGAAAAAACATTAAAATTAAAAACTATATATACAAATTTACATTCTGTTTTTAGAGACACCTAAACCTCTCCGCAGTCATGTATATTACAACATAGCCCAGAACATATTGTACCTTATAACCCCTTGTTTGGCTAAATTATCAGCCAGAGTTAGCTGACCTCTGAACCCACTGCACTATAACTGTCATACTCCTTGTCATCCATCCAATCCTTTTGGTTTCATTCCCAAACATGCTGCATCAATTAATAAGAGAGAAAATAGAAAGGTACACCATAGGGATACCAAAGAAAAGGTGAAGGCTATCCCCAGATACATTCCCCCATTCATGCTTCAAACAAATCCAGTTTCACCAAACAGATGCACCCAATAAAATGCTAGTTGTGAGACCATATTACATTTTCTAATGTCCAGTATTGTTAGGCACTTTTATGTTTTTTTTTCTTGTATTTTTTTTTTCAAACCATTTCAGGGACCATTTAATGCCCGTCAACCCCCTGAAACACCTACTGTAGGGGCATATCGGGGGGGTCACCAATACAATACACCCCAATATGTTGCAAAATTTAAATCCTTGCTTTTGCAAGTGGTATTTGGAGGCAATTCCCTTTTTATTTAGTCTCGTGTTGTCTCCACTGGTGGAGATGAAGTTCCTTTTTTAGACTTCTTTCTTCAAACCACCACAAAAAAGTGGTTAGCAGTCCTATGGCTCTGGTACAAGAACTTCTCTAACAAGGAGAAAGAAATGGAAGCAGTCATTGGTCCAGCCATTGCTATGGTGGCCATTGCTATGGTGGCTCACTAGATTAAGACAAAGGAAGAGTTCAAGGACTACTTTACTGATGACATGTAACACGTGTTTGGGGGACAGAGTAATCTAGTTGCTTCATCAACTAAAAGAGACATACTTCCTTTATAATGGGGATCTCCATCCATCCATTTTATCAAACTCAAATTTGGCAGAAGTTTTATTGGAAGGAACCCAGGTGCATTTGGAGTAGCAGTATTCAAAAATCACTAGGGTGAAGTTTTGATGCCATATTCTGAACCTACAGATGAAGATGACTAAATCTGAGCCAAATTCCTAGCACTGGTACAAGGTATGACATTCGGCTAATCCCTAGGTTTCTACAATTCGGAAATAGAAGGTAACTTTCAAGTGTGATAAGGTGGATGCTAGCTGAGGGGGAAGGGCCATGATTCACTGACATTCCGTTAGAGAGGCCAGGTCTATAGCTCTAACCATGGACACCTTGAAACCTTATTCAGATGGTTTTGAAGATCAGCCAACACTGTAGCTGACTCATTGGCCAGAGATGGATATATAAGGAATCATTGTAATAGGGGTTCACCAAGGTAGACTCATGGCCTCTTTTGTTTATGGATTCAATTATAACCATCCAGTGCTGGAAAGATGTCCTACTTTTTCTTTATTATTAATAAATAGTTTCTTTGCAAAATATAAGGAGAATATATAACTACCATACCCTTATGAGTTAGGGAAGTAGGTAACACAGGACCTCTACAGCCAAAAGCATTGAATTATAAATGTTGCCCCTGGACCAGGTACTCCCCACTCTAATTCACTCTTGTCAATCTGGTTAGACTGTCAGCTAAGCTGTTTGCAGACCTAGGGATCCAATCTGAACATACATATTTTGAAAGCTTCTCTAATTTGATGCCTTAAACACCAAGGTCCTTTAGCCTTTGATGATAGACAGCTTATCACAACTTGACAATCTCCATAACCACGCCATTCTACTCCTTTTCCATAGCAAATCTCAGTCCATGCAGAGAAGCTAGCCGAAAGTTACTCAAAATAAATCAGTGAGACCCAAATTCAAAATGGATTTAAACCAAAGGAGGGGGCACTCCTTTTGATAGCGTATCTCAATTATCCAAGCACTACTCAACTCATTAACTCAACAAAGTCTTTAACCCAACTATAGGAGGCCAGCCCACCCTATCAAGGACCATAGCCATTGTTAAACTGTACGTCGCCAAATCCTTTTTAACAACCTTAATTACCCAAGTATTTAGGTCTTAAATTTACCCCCAACGGGAAAAGAAGGTTGTCCTAGACTGGATGGTCCTCCTCTTCTAGTGTTTGTGGAATGACTACCAAGCCGTTAATACAAACAGCCAAGTCGAATCCTAGTCTTCCCACAGTCTTCCAAGCAACAAAATTCAAGCTGCAGAATGAAGACAAACAGACCATCTACCTATAGTTGGAACTCTTGCGGATCTAAGACTGGAAACCACATTACATTTTTGCAGGAAAATAATAAAAGATAGAACACAGGGTGGCAGAAAAGTTGTCCGATTTTGGCGCGCATTCCAACCACTCAAACTGAAAATCCTTCGGCAAGAGTCCCAAATTCAAAGTTCAAACAGAAAACTTTCAACAATCTAGAACCCCAAACCTTGATAACTAAATATAAGGAAAGATAGAAAAGAAAGAAAAAGAAAAAGGCGAACAAGAGTTGAGGAGAGGAAGACTGACTCGGCGAGGTCTCCGAGCTGACGCAAGACGCCAACGAGTCCAGCCATGGCGACACCTTCAAGTAACGCTTCGGGATCATCTTTATCAGCAGCTTTGTAAAGCTCCGGATCCGCTAAGCTGTACTCGTTCCTTATCTGGTATCTCGTAATGGGCATTTCGTCCAAGGATCGAGAACCCTAGTCTGTGGAGATTGATTGTTTCTTATCTCTGATTGCAGCGCTACGTTTCCGCCATTAAAACTTCGTAAGAAATATTCATCAGAGACGGGAAGAATTTCATTGAGTTGGGGGATTTTGAAAGAATATACACAGTAGATATCTGGCAAGAGGTGATGAAGGGTATTTATTTTTCTTATTTAATATAAATATTAATAATAATAACCATACAAGTTTAATTCAGAGGACGATAAATTCGACACTGCAACGGTGAATCCTCCCCCTTCAAATCCCTCACATTTGATTTCAGATTTCTTTCCTTTTTTTCTGTTCTTTTATTTTTTGTTTTTAACGCTTACTAAGCTAAGGTACTTGCTTTCTCAGCAACGTTCGTTCGGCTGTCTTTGGGCAAGAAGAGCAAGAGACTGTAGTGAAAAGCAATTATTACCGGAGAAAACACCAAATATATAATCTAAAGTTTCTCTTTTTTTTAATACTTTTCCGATACAGATAAAAGAAAATCTAGGTTGAGCTGTTTTAGTGGAAGAAACACGCTATCGAATTCGAATCCACGGGGTTTGATCCACAGCGATCCTAATGTAATCCTTGACCATACTCATTGAAAGTCGTCATCACTGCTGAAGCAGAGCTCGATTGGTTCCACCTGATGATCAGAAAAGTAACGGCAACCAATAATGATGGAACAGACGATGATCTGAACGTAAGCCTGAAGTTTTATTAAACACCGTAGCAGTCCCAAGCCACAAAATAAAGATTTAAAAAAAAAAAAAGAAGAAAGGAGGTTTTGTGATTTGTACGGAATTCCCAACGTTGGCTCTACTCTACTACTCTGGATTCTGGAGTATAGAACCAGGCATCACGAGTTGAATAATTCGATGGGAGCGATTAACTAACACTAGAAGTTGACTTTGACCGCGATGAAACTTAGCGTGGGGCCCATTTCTGGTTGTTCCTCTTCCTCACTCTCCTCTCCTCCAGCGCGGGTCCCGCACCGTTGATGCACATGCGCCAAGTCGGAATGTGATAAATCTAATTGATTGTATTCTATTTCTATTATGTGTAGTGTAGATTCCAGAAAGTGGGATGGAATAGAAATATACGTAGATTTGGTACGTGTCATGCATGCCAGTACCGGAATCTTCTCTCTCCACGTCACCAATATTGCCATTTTTTAAAAGATTGGAGGTGCCAATCGAACGGTTTTCCCCCAAGGACAATGTCACCTATTGTCCGTCCGCATGGCTGGAACTGGAATTTACAATTTGAGACTTGAGAGGGTACTACTACTATAGTCTCGAGATCTGGGAGATGTACAACGCCAAGATACATCCAATTAAGGATGATATAGGGTGATGGAAGTATAAGAGTGGTGGGTCCTGCTGATTTGATGATTGAGCGTTTATAAGTCGCTTTTTATAAATTTTTATTTAATTAATTTCTAAACTGTCCGATTGGAATACATTTCGTGAAAAGCTGGTGCAAGGAATCATTGCAGCTTCCTTTCGTCGTCAGAAATCAGAATAATAAGATTCCTCCTGGACTCTTTTTGTCATCATCGTAAGATGATATTTTTCTACCAACCATAAAGCAGAAGAAATGTCCAAAGTTAAAAACAGAAACTTTTTTTGGTGATGTTGGGGAAACGACGAATATGGAAACAAAGGTGGTGGAGTGGAAGTAAACGGAGAACGCTCGCTCCGCTGGCATCAAAAAAGCCAATATCAGGGGCAGCAAATCACTTAAAAAAAGGGGAAAATTCTCGATAGGTATCCTTTACTTTATGCCGACTGTTAATTTACTATCCGAATTTTAAATGCCACAATTTATTATTTGAACTTTCATTTTGTGGCAATTTAGTATCCGACGTTAATTTATCGTCAGTTAGAGGAATCACAGTGCAGGTTAAAAATTTTAAAATACTAAAATTAACCTTTACAAAAATATATGGATCATTTTACCTTTTTCCCTTTCTATTTCCCTAATCCCTTTTTCTCTTTAATTTGGGTTGAATAAATGAAAGAGAAGAGAGTTCACTCAACTCCCCATTCAGATTTCAATCTGGGTTGAATGAACGAGAGAGGAAAAGAGACTTCACTCAACTCTGACCTTCCTCTTCATTCTGAGCACGCCCATTCCATATTGGAAGCAAGATCAGACTCGGCCATCCGATCGAATAAAAGAATAGACCTCAAAAGCTAAACTGGTTAATCCGCACAAACGAGTCAATGTGATTGAGTAGAAGTGTTGTAACCGAAGTTGCGGGTGGATGGAAAATGAAGAAGGAAATGGCAGTCAAGACGGAGGAAGGAGGGTGAAGGCGAGAATCCACCCAATATCCATGAACATGAAGTTGATTTGGTTTTATGGGTTTTGAAGAGAAATGGAGGGAAAGTAAATTAATTCTTAGTTTTATTGACTACCTCTGTCTTCTGTCCTTCAGTTTGTCTAGTCTACAACGTAAAAGCTTGAGAAAAGGTGTGTCATGTAATGCAACACGCTCGAACTTGGGGTCGCATGCTCCCAGACTGCTCGGGGGAGACACTTGTCGCCCTCGTCTCAGAAATTGTTGCTCTTAGTGCGCCAGGTAGCAATACACCTGTCCTTTGCATCCTCAATCATCTGCAACCCCTTGTGTGTCCGCCTCATGGAAATGATAGTTTGATTCGAAGAGGGAGACAAAGCAGTGGTTACGTTCTCCGATGCAGAATCATGGAGCCATCGGGGGAGCCGGCTCCTCTGGGTCAGAAGATGCAATATAGAGATGTTTTCTTGGAGAAGACATTTATGGCCTTGTTCGCCCAAAAGGTGGAGAAATGAGCTTCCTCTTCCTCTTTTAATCAAAGCAAAAGCAATGGCTTTTAGGATTATGACTACGAGAGCTTTGTAAACGTCTCGAGGAGGGTAATGCAAGGAAGGTCTTGTAAGCAACATCGACAAGTGGTCAAGGAGGTTCTCTTGTCCATGCTCCCTCTCGATGCCCCCACTCAGGTTGGTTCTTCTATTCTGACTCTTTATTCTTTGACTCCTCTCCTCTCCTCCCCTTCACTTCTTAATCTCTACTCCAGACTCTAGAGTTCACTCTGTCTCACTGTTTGTTATACACTCTGATTGTGCCCATCTGAGTTTCTTCGGAAGTTTACTGAAATGGGCAGGGTTGGTGTCAACTCTACGAGGGTTGAACCAACTAATACGGTAATGGTATGTTGAGAATTAAATGTCAATCCCGACTTGAACCCAATTCAAACATGTTTAGGATTAGATAGACAAGACGAGGAGATGAGGGAGAGCTGAGCCCGGGAGAGGGTCCAGATTCAAGCCAGAGCTAGTTTGAAAACATAATCATTGGCTTGGGGATGGGGACTAAGAAGAAATTATGCCTAGTTTCATCCCTTCACAATGAACAAATCAATGACAAATGATATTGTGGTAGGTATTGTTGCAATTTCGAAAATTATTTCCGCCAACCAAGTGGGCTGTTGGACTACTCAGGGGAGACACTTGTCGCCCTCGTCTCAGAAACTACTGCTCTTAGTGCACCAAGTAGCAATGCATCTATCCTTTGCATCCTCAATCATCTTTACTATAAAAGTAAAGCCAAAACTCAATGTTTTCCTTCATCTCAATCGATTTCACACTATGTCTATTTGGATAATCCATTCGCAGAATCTCTACATTAATTTTTCAGTTTTCTAAATTCTCACTTCAGAGAAGGATCAACTTGATTACCTCGGGAGATAGGTCGGCCTTTCCACTGTAACATGTCAGTTGTTTTGGTGTTGGTCCTTGTGTTGATTGCCCCTTGTAGAAGCAGTAGTGTAAGTGAAAAGGGTCACCACCAAGAGAACGAACACGCGAAGTCAGGGAAGGAGGCTAAAGAAACGACGGAGCAGTGAAGGAGATTTGAAGGTGCAGGCAAGACTAGAGAAGCTGCCGAGCAAATGGTAGAATATGGTGTGGACAAAGCCAGAGATTTGAAGGAAACCATGAAGTATGGTGCAAGCAAACCGGAGATTTGAAGGAAACCGAAAACCACCGGTGTGAAGGAGCTGGTTTCGGAATCTCAATAATTGCAAGTGTGAACAGTGGTTCCCACTTGCATTGGTTGAAATAGATAGAGGCATTTTCATAATTTTCATACATTAGTCGAAATAGATGGGGGGTATTTAGGTCTTTTTGTCTTCTAACTGATGGTAAATTAATGTCGGGTACTAAATTGTCGCAAACTGAAAGTTCAGGTACTAAATTGGCACTCGGCCTAAAGTACAAGGTACCTATCGGGAATTTTCCCTAAAAAAACAAATTTTTTAAAATTACCTTTAAGATTTAGAAAATTGACTAACTATACCCTTACTGTTTCAATATTGTCTTAAAGTACCCTTCTGTTTCTAACAATTGACTAAATTTTTCTTACCAACATCGAAGAATTAAAAAGACTATTTTACCCATCATTCTTCTTTAAATTTTTAAGAATAGGAAGCAACTTACTTCTCTACTCTTGGATGTACCTTGCTCTGCTAATACAAGCCTATGGTTTCTCAAGATATTGCTACTCGAAGGAATGACGCCAATGAGGTTGTTGAAGGAGAGATTGAAATGAGTTAAGAGTTTTAAGTTTCCAAGGGAGTTCGAGATTGATGCCAGTGAGGTTGTTGTAGGTTTTGATCTCCAGGATCCTACCCTAAAATCAGTTAACTGATGCATTGACAAAACTGATAATTTTCAATCCAAGGACATCAAAAGGGATTATTTCTCTCACTCACTCCTGCTTTCGCTCTCCCATGTTCCACTATCCACCAGCGATGGTGTACCTCCGGCACCACCCCTTCGCTCAACCTCAATCAAGGGTCAAAATCATGGGTATTTTCGATCACCCTGTTGTTCCCCTCTACCATACATCAAGTTGGAATCAAACAACTAAGTAGTGTGGTCTGTTGTCTTCCCCAACGAGAACGACGAACCTAGCGGCGACATCACTCAATTTTTCACCCATGTTATTGGCTTTTCCAAACTGTTCATCGATTCACTCTTAGACCTCAGTTATCTCCCTCGATCGAAGGAAACACTACAATGTCTAGCATCATTTCTGTGTCGGCATCCGAGTTCTAACAACTAGAAGTTGTGTGCATCTTCTTTGTGTCGTATGAGGAGTGTATGTGTTTGGGGTGGGGGTTGAATGAATGGTTGTTGCTACTTTTGCCGAAGGCATCTTAAGATAAGTGATTTGTGTGTGTGAAGAAGCAAACAGGGTGTTGCAGGCTATGGGAGCTTCCATGCCACCTACTCCCCTTCTCCATAACCTCCCTCGCACTTCGAGAATCATTTCCTTTATTCTCTACTACACTACAATTGCTCTACTCCATGAATTGCCGACAAGAATCAGCTGAGGACA